TCCAGAGACCCTATGGATCTAAATTTCCAGAGAAATGTCATGCTTGGAGGTGCAAAATATGGAGCACTTGCTTATTTTTATAAGGACAGCAATGTGGCCAGCTTAGGGTATGCTTAACCAAACCATTTATAATATTTTCCATGAAGAAAGAGTAATTAGAGCAGCAAGTAACATCGCGGGAAATCCTAGATTACAGGGGATGCCAGAGGGTTCTTCTGTCTATCAGCATTGATTTGAGGCTTGCGATGTGTCAAGGAGAAACAATGTCGTGTGGAAGCGCAACGAGGCAGAGTGCACGCTTATGGATTTCAAGCATGCCTGGTTATTTGCCGTTGGAAATTTCTATTTGGGATGCCAAAGATATTCTGGGTAGTCACTGACTATGTCACAACATGACCTCACACGGCCTTCCTTTTTGTCCTTGGCTTAGCCTACAAATGCCATTCCACTTATGAAAACAAAGAGGCTGGAATGTGAGGGGAGTCCAAGATAAAAGAGATTCTGCCGAGTAATGGAAATGAAAAAACACAAAAGCAAGCCCGTTTGGTGCCTGATACGTTGGGTTACATCCCAGGCAGCAGAATCAGAAATCTTGCATTTGGTCCTGCTGCCTGGGGTGTATATTCAGAGATGTCCTCCTAAATTGGCCATTTGGACTTAGACACGAGAGTAGAGGCAGCTCTAACGAACCATTCTCTGTATTTTTCCCAAAGACGTTTTATATTTGAGCAGACACAAAAACACAAATTTGCAGTTTAATGTCAAACAACTAGAAGAATCTGTTTATGATAGATTCTAGGGCACAGGATTGCAAAACGTGGGCACCCTCACTAAGCCCAGGGAAATGGAAATTCCAAACACAAGCAGAATTTGGCATCCCAACCCATCCTCAGAAATGTGTGTAAACATAGCTCTTCCCCATTACACTGTGGGGGAAATCTTTCATTTTTTTGGTGTACCTTTACAGGTAGTTACAGAAAATAAACCAATAGTTACAAGATTATGAATGATTTGATGAAGATGCCTTCACATCAAGTCTTGTTCACCACAAACTGGCATATGAGATTCATTAAAAAGCTACAATATGATTAATGAAGATGGTCACCAGGTACGACAGGAGGGAGAAGCGAAATATAAACCAGAAATACAATTTACAATTAAATTAGGAGGCAATATTAATCAAATGGAAGAGGCAGCTAATTAGAAAAACAAGTATGAACTGAGTGTTCAGTTGCATTTTAGTGTTTGGTAGACTCTGAGCTGAAGACTGAAGTGGCTCTGGGAAGCAGCAGAACACAGATTATAAACCCCTTGAGGTTGCGGGTTGAATTTTTCTTGCCCTTTCATCCCTTTTAAAATATTTTTCCAGCTTTGTTGTACCTTAGATTTCAAAAGTATTCTTAGAATTGGAATTTGAGTCTGCGTGGCCATTCTGGGTACACGTTTTCTCTTGAACAAGAGTCCCACAGTGCATTTTGCCCATCTCAGCCTGGGCCAGGCTAGGGCATCTGCCAGGAGTGATGCTGGGGCTTTGTTGATGAGACACCCAGTGAACCAAGAGCCATGGATCCTTTTGTTTCCTCATCGGCCTCCTTTTCCTTTGCTGTCCAGTCTTTGGGCTGATATATTATGGAAAAGCAGCAGAGATTCTGAAGTTGTTTTGTTTTCTTCCAGTGTTTTTGCTGAGTGACCAATCCTGGCCCTGTCATGCGGCCCCTCATGCATTGTTCTGTGCCTCCGTTGTCCCTGGGGACCACCATCCTGGGTGCCTCTGCCTGCTCCTCAGCACCCAGCAGCATGCTGGCTCCATCGGGGCTCACAGAGCTGCATTTCTCTGGTGCAGGAGGAGCTGTGTTTCTGCTCTGAGTCTTTATAAAATCTCATGCACTGTCCTTCAGCTTCGGAGCAGAGCAGAACTCAAAATCAGAACTTACTGCTCTGACTTGACCATATTTTAGACAACATAAAAAATTAAACTCATTCTATAATATAAACAATCAATGCTAGCAATTGGATACTTATGCTTTCTCCAAGTTGTCACGGGGATTAATGTCCCAACCTTCCTCAACATCATTGAGAAGGGACATTTCAGAGCTTCTATTTCTTCCTCCAGTGATACTCTAGTAGAGAGTAGTTTTCCCCTCCCCAATTGAATGCATGGTCCAGAGTCATAGTCTTTGCCTATGACTAAATGAACAGTGTGCTGCTGGGGACTTCAGGAGGGGCCTGATGCATCTAGCATGAGAAAGGTCATTCACGTGAACTTAAAGAATTCTGATATTCAAAACTGATATTAATGGCCTTCGATACTGCAAATGTGGAAGCTTATTTTTATGATGAGTAAATTGATTGGAATTTGTAGCAATATATTTTATGCATATTCTTAAGTCAGAAAGAAACCAGGACTGATGGGCTATCTTGAAAAGTCATTGCTTAAATGGTAGTTTATTTGGAAATAAACGAAGAAAAACACACTTGATATAGTAAATGGCTCTATAAAGCTTTTCATTTTCTGAAGTGCAATTCTTTTATACTCGAGAGCCATTTTAGGCTAGAAGTAGCTAAACATACACATTTCATACAATAATTACACGTCTCAGAACACCGATGAAGAAGGACAAGTAGACTTAAGAAAGTATCTGCTTCCGTTAGCGATTTGGCGCCTTCATGGAGAGTCACCATCGTTAAATTCTTCATGCAAAGCCCAAGCCCTCCCCCTTCAGAGCTGCTCCGTATGTCTCTCAGAAATGCACACCATAGTCTCATTCTTTTTGTCTAATCACATGAGGAAAATGTCCACTTCATAGAGGGAAAGCAAAACAAACAAATTTAAAAAAACACACTTTCTATTTGGCAAACGAGTCCCTCCATTTACATTCGGTTTCCAGTAAGAGGTAATTTCTAATCAGCCTGGCATGAAAACAAAGCAAAATAAATAAATACATATAAAGCTTCAATAGTTTTAGGATACTGGTTAGTTGAAATTTAAATAAACACGACCATTATAACTAATTCATGAAAAAGGACTGAGAGCAATTTGTGGCAGGGCTGTGTGGACAGCATGGTGTGATGGGATTAACTTGAACTGGGCAGGGTGTGCGGAGCAGGACCAGCAGGGCCCTGGCGAGGCTGCCTGGGGAGGGTGGCGCAGCTGTGCAGGGTGGGGGGGCTGGTGCTGGGTGGTGGTTGCAGACGCAGGACCCATCTGCCTTTCATACACGTGCCTGACAGAGGCACATGTCGTGACTCTCCTCCCAGAAACGGCACACAGGGCCTGTGCCAAGAGCCAGGGCCCAGGCACCTTCTATGAGCCTGGCATGGCTATGGGGTCAGAGCATCTTGTACTGGGATGTACCAGTAACAAGCAGGGAGCAGGAGGCTCCAAGAGCCACTGCCCAAAGCATTCACTGGCACTGTAGCTGCTCATTAAAATTCTGCACTTGTAGGTAGCGATTGAACAACTTATCAAAAAATGGATGGTGGATGGTGGAACCCAAGTTTCTCACTGTTGGAGGGGGTGATTAGAGGAAAAGATAGATGATAGATGGATAGATAATAGATAATTAATAGATATGCATGGTTGATACATGGAGGTAGATAATAGAGAAAGGCAGATGACAGATAAATAGAGGTAAATGTATAGAGATAAATGTATAGACAGAGATAGAAATAGATGCTACATAGGCAGACAAACAGATACATAGATATAGATGATAGATAATCAAGAGAGATAGATATGGGTAGTTGATACATATAGATAGATAATAGAGAAAGGTAGATGACAGATAAATAGAAGCAAATGTATAGATAGAAATAGAAATAAATGATATATAGACAGACAGGTAGGTAGATAGACAGACAGAGATAGACCGATAGACCGATAGATAGACAATAGATAGATGGATAGATAGATAGACAGATAGATAATTAGAAATTGAGGCATGTACACAGGCAGGCTTACATGCACATACTACGTGTGAAAAAGGGAGGGGGTAGATCCTGAGAAAACCATCAGACCAATTCCAGTTAAAGGTCATTCTACAAAATACCTGACCGGTATTTCTGAAAACTGTCAAGGCCATCGAGAACAAGGAAAGTCTGAGAAACTGTCACAGCAAGGAGGATCTGAAGGAGATGCCACAACTAGGCGTGAGGTGGTGTCCTTGGTGGGATCCCAGACCAGGAAGGGGCATTAGGAAAAGCTAATGAAATCCAGATAAACCTGAGCATAGCTGACACCACTGGCCCAGTGCCACTTCCTCAGTTGTGGCAAACACACCCTAATAACTGCAGGCTCTGACTGCAGTAGGAGGGTGGGGTGGAAGCTAGGCAGGTCCTCTTCTAACACTTTGGTAAATCTAAAGTTATCCTACAGTTAATGATGCAGTTAAATAGGACAAAGGCGAGGCTTTAAAGGAACCAACTGCCTCTGACTGGTCTTTGCTCTTTCTCCTGCCATGCCATTCTCCCACCGGGTTCTACTGTGACCCTTTATTCCCCTGTTTTAGGGGTGTGTAGAGTCTTCTGAAGTGGTGGCTGGAATGCTGTGTGACCTGAGGGGGTTCCTCCATTTTTGTCTCTGTCTCATAGAAAGGGTAGAGGCTGATGCAGGCAGAGAGATTCTGTGTCTGCCCTGAATCCTGCTCCTGCTGGAAGCACTTTAGTGAATGCCCACCGAGCGCCTGGTCCAGGGGCCATGCATGGAGAGGAATGCTCCAACATGACCCAGGCTGAGTGCACCCCCCACTTCCTCCTGCTGCATCTCAAGCCTTCTAAGGTAGTTCACGCAATAAGCATTCCTTATTGTCACACACCATGGCATCTCGACATTTTACTTCTGCCTCAAACACCTCCAATTTATAATTCTCAAGAGTTGTGTTTGAACTTTCTTTTCATGTTGACTTAGAACCCATGTGTCTTGTCTTTGTAACTTTCTAAAAGATTTAGGAAACAGCAGTGTATTCTGAAAAGTAAAAGTAAGGGACATGAAACATTCTCAGTTGAAATAGAAAGGAAAACAGTTCATTTCATTCTGGATGACAGTTTTTCAGGGAACAATGGTCTCTGGGAGTTGACACGAGGCAGTAATGAGTGAGGGAGAGGAGAACTGAGTCACAGCTGCACACGGCAATCACCAGAGAACATCGACTCTCTTCCAGCCAGAATACCATTAATACGTGTGTCAGCCCGGAGTGAATCTCGCCGCGTGCGAGCCGTGCCGAGTCCCAGAGAGAAAATGAAGAGCATCCTCGGGGACAGGCCTTTCTTTTTCTCCGGGAGTCTTCATTATTCAGGCATTGTGATAGTTTTCCTTTATTTGTGTAAAGATTAAATTGCACATGATTTCTAATGTTTCTGCTACTCCAACTGTCATAGGTCGACGACCCTCATGCACGCGAGATAATAGATACATCGTCTGCTGTTCCGGCCACCGCTGTTCCTCCACAGCTCAGTACTTCCCCATTGTTACAAGTCGAAGGCAATTAAATAAAAATACAAGACAAGGCACCTCAAGGATGCTGAGGATTTCATATATATCTTTACGTGACCACATTTTAGCACAATCCCGCCCGATTATCTAGTGGAACGCTGAGAATCAGAAATGATTCGTGGGGGAAGTGAGATGTTATTGAAGAAGACATTCCCTGGAAGGATCACAGCATCGGAGCCTGGTGGGCCAACTCCCCATGTCTGAACCTTTCGGCAGAGAGACTTCCGATGAACCCCACTGTATTGGTGGCACTCCAGTTCGTTCAGCTTTCTCCTGGGCTACCCTATCCGCATATAAATTGAATGAATATTCCGGAAGCCTATCCTTGAAAAATAAAGAAAAGAAAAATAATGGATAGTCCCACCTTTTTAGTGATTATTCACAGGGTCGGGTGTCTCTAATCATTGTTATTTCAGAAGAACGGCCCTGATGAATCACACGTAGTTACCTGGGGAGTAGACTTCAAAAGTTACATTTTAAAAAGTACCTAACTCAGAAAACATGGTAGTGCCATTATGGATAATAATCCCTTTTTGTTGAACCAAGAATTTCTCCAATGTCCCTGTCCCGCTGCTAACACCTTCCCCTCCCCACCCCATGAGAGTGGAAAGAGCTTCTTTCTGTCGACTGAGCACCTCCCTGGATGACCTTGAATCCAACTTTCCTCAAATCCCTGTCAGCTAATTCCAGCTGTCTCTCTCCAGCGGGGATTACATCCCCTCTCCAGAAGAGATTTTGGAAACATTCGGCATTCATAAAACTGCAGTCCTGCCCCTCCAAGACTCGGGATCCTCATGTCCGTTTCTGCTGCCATCTGTAGGTGCAGTGTTCAGACAAGGTGCCCCTCCTCCACCACTGGCCTCCACCCCGGGCCCAGAGAGAAGGGGTGGCCCTGGGAGCCCTGCCTGGTCTAGGTTACAGTGATTCTCCTCCAACCCTGACAATGCCATGGGTGGCAGAGCAAACGGAACTCGGAGCCCTGCTTCTCCTCTAAGCTCGTGGGCATCTGCAGCAGTGCCTGTCGGCCGTCCTCGGGGAGATGCAGTCCCAGGGCTGCAGGATTGGGGTGCTCCACGCCTCCTAGTCTCTGTCACACAAGCCATCCCCGCTACACATGTCCAGGGCAGGACCTCCGAATACTCTGATCAAAGCACTGCACCCTCCTTGCCCCAGTCAATAACTCACAAATGTACTCCCCAAACCTCCTTACCACGGTGAGCCTCCGGGGAGCCCCCGTGGCCCCCACCCTGCGGCTTCCATATTTGTGACCCTCTACCACACTGAGTAGGGCTGACTGACTGCGGGAGTAAGGGCAAATGGGCCATGAAGTTACCCCTGCTTCTACCTCACTGTAACTTAACTCCTGGCTCCGGGGGAGGCCAGAGGACACCCAGCACCCCTAGAGAGACACGGGGGTGGTGAGGAATGGGGCATCCAGCAGTAGCCCTCCAGGTGAGCCCCCGGAAGCAGATCCTGCCTAAGCCTCTGATGGCCGCAGCCTGGCCAGCATGTTGATGACAGCTTCCCCAAGCAGCTGCTCCAGAATCACAGGTTCAGCTGATCCCAAACCTGTGACCCACAGAAACGAATGAGATGACAGCTCTTCATCACTGCTGTTTAGGCACGCCGTGTCTGGGGGGTAGTTTGTGGAGCAGCCGTTGACAGCTAAAGCACAGGCCACACATTCTCATGTCATCCCGCAGGGACTACCCAGGCCCAGGCCGCTCATCCCACAGGGCTGTGTACCTGTGTCCCAGGAAGGGGGGACTCCATTCCTGCGCTCCCTACTTCCCCACACCCAGCTTCCCCCTGCACCATGGAGCTTGCAGGCTTTTATGAGCTAAATCCCCTTCACCCAGAACCTCTTCCTCAAATTCTTCACCTTCTCACGCTGGCGAAATCCTGGACTGGCTTCTCCCATCACTCCTGTCACTCCGCTTTCCTGTCCCTACGCGTTTCCACCCCATTATCCTTTCTTCTGGGTTGAGCCTCTAGCTTCAAAAAGTGTGCCATTCACTATACCACCTACCGAGTCACACCTCTTCCTGAAGACCTTACCCCTGGTCGCCATGAACTTCCTCCCGTATTGCTTCTATAATATGCGTGGGGTCGCCATGAACTTCCTCCCGTATTGCTTCTGTAATATGCGTGGGGTCGCCATGAACTTCTTCCCGTATTGCTTCTATAATATGCATGGGGTTACCATGAACTTCCTCCCGTATTGCTTCTATACTATGTGTGGGGTCGCCATGAACTTCCTCCCGCATTGCTTTTATAATATGCGTGGGGTCACCATGAACTTCCTCCTGTATTGCTTCTATAATATGAGCGAGGTCATCATGAACTTCCTCCCATACTGCTTCTATAATATGCGTGGGGGTCACAGGATTCACATAGATGAGGTGCCACCGTCTTGATCTCCTAGTTTACAACAACTTAACTTTAAGTTAAATTACTGTTGAAGATTCCTTTCCGTATTGTGGGGTAGTATGACCACACTGGTCACTCCTACAATGATTTATAAAGCAGTTTGACATACGAGGAGATTTGAAATGTTCCGAGCGTAGTCGTCTATATGGAGACTCTGCTAAGGAACTCCTGCAGCTGCACGTCTTATCTTTTTATCTTAAAAGATAAGACGCCGCGGCAAGGAAGGATACCCTCGAGAAGACAGTGCTGCACCCACGGAGCCTCGTGCCTCAGCACAGCTGTGTGTGGGAAGGTGGTGTAGAATGGGACTGCAGTGCAGCACTGCAGGCAAGAGTGGACGTCCTGATGCTGCCTCCACGGAATCTGAGCACACACCTTACCATTCTATTCTCAAAAGTCGTGCTCCTGAATCCTCACTTGGCTGCTCTGAGTCCTCTACTCCTCACACCTCCTCAGCAGACACCAGTCCTCGATTTCAGCTTCTCAAAGAAACTGTGTTGGCACCAACTATTAGAGTCATCTCTGCTCATGCTCCATCTGAGTGGCCTCATGCTGAACAGCTCAGGAATAAAGGGAAGAACAAAATATCAACTGAGTGAAACGCGGAGACCCCTCCCTGGCAAAGATCGGGCCACTCAGTAGCCCGCACATGCAAAATATGGGAAACCCTGGCTGCATGTTTCAGACCAAAGATCAGGATCCCAGCCCCAATGTGGGCTGGTGCTCTGCCAAAAAGGACCTACTGCTTATGAAGGTGAATGTAGAATTTTATTAAGAGAAAAAACAACAGCAGGGGTTCTCAAACACCCTCGCACCAACCAAGGAACATTAGGCAATATTTGGGAGTGTTGAAGAAATGGTTGCCACAGCTGGAATAGAGGGATGCTTCTGTCTGGTATGGAGAAGTCAGGGACATGGCTACACCCTGCATAGGACGGCCCCCGCCGCAGAGAATTAACCAGCCGCGAAAGCAGGAAAGGTGGAAAGCAGAATGGTGAGATTAATTAGAGGTGCAAATAGAAAGACTGATGATGGGCATTTGAAGTCTTAAAGGCATTATATAGTCTAAAGATCGCAGATACTGGACTCAGTTTCCACTCTCTGAGCATTACGTAGACTTCTCAAATGTCACATACGCACGCTCTCTAGGTGAACACCAACCTCAATACCAGGCTCCTGGGGATGCAGCAGTCATGAATTCAACGGGAATCAGACAATCACAACAAAAGCCCTCACTGAACTCGAACTCAAAAAGCTCCAAAAGGTGCTCAATACCAGAAAAGGTCAGACACACGAAGGAAAACCACACTGAGTAACCTGGCACTCCCATTAGGATGGCAACTATTAAAAACGTGAAAACAGAAAGGAGCAAGTGTGGCAAAGGTGTGGAGAAACTGGAGGCCTGGTGCCTCGCGGGTGCTGTCAGATGCGGCCGTGGCTGGGGAGGATCCTGTGGAGCTCTGTTTCACAGCCCTGCAAATATACGTCATGCTACTAAACTGCACTGAAAACTGGTTCAGCTGTTAAGATCTGTTGTGTATTTTTTAGCACAATAAAAAATATGCTCCTCATTGGATGATGATGATAAATAACATTAGAGACCTTCAACACTTCAGGTAGAGGCTTACCCCTGTGGTCAGACTGACCTGAGTAGGAATCACTCTTTTTTTCTTTTTTTTTTTGTTTTGTTTTGAGATGGAGTCTCGCTCTGTTGCCAGGCTGGAGTGCAGTGATGTGATCTCAGCTCACTGAAACCTCCGCCTCCTGGGCTCAAGTGATTCCCCTGCTTCAACCTCCCCAGTAGCTGGGAGTACAGCCGCCCGCCACCACGCTGGGCTAATTTTTTGTATTTTAGAAGAGATGGGGTTTCACCATGTTGACCAGGGTGGTCTTGATCTCCTGACCTCGTGATCCACCCGCCTCTGCCTCCCAAAGTGCTGGGATTACAGGCGTGAGACACCGCGCCCAGCCAGGAATCACTCTTTTATTCATTTGACAATATTTGTGGAGTGGCAGCAGTTTTAGGTCACTGTGTTTTGCACTAGAAATACCATCATCAAATGAAAAGGACTTTTTTCTGTCTTTAAGAACTTACAGTACTGTAAGTTCATAGACACATGTACATGAGGGTGGAGGGTGGGAAAAGAAAGAGGAGTGACAAACAGATTCTATCAGGTACTAGACTTATTACCTGGATGACAAAATATTCTGTACACCAAACTGTGTGTACACTACTGTAAGTTCTTAATGAAGGCAAAAATTTATAATGAAGGCAAAAATCTGTTTTAAAATTCTCTCCCAAGAGGCTCTATTTGGAAGTGATGGTGCTCTCAAGATGTGTATTTCATATGAAGAATCCCACTAATCAGGACTCTTTCCATGCTTCGAGAGAAAGTTTGAAGCTTCTATAAGCATAAAACCGTGAAATGAGTCACAGAGAACTTATGAGAGGCTTCTGCGGGCACACGGCAGCCTCCACGCTGTTCTCTCCTCGTTCACATCCGCCTGCTGCACACCCCAATTCTCACATGCGCCGCCGTTCTGGTCTCCTCCCTGCTAACAGGGAATTCGATGGTAAAAAGGTAAGTCTGTTCACACCTCTGCTTTGCTTAAAAACCCTCAGTGGCTTGCCAATTTCTTACAATAAAGCCCAACATTCTTTTCTCCCCCAATTATTTAAATTTATTTATTTATTCTTAACTTTCATTTTAGTTTCAGAGGTACATGTGCAAGCTTGCGGTATAGGTAACTCACGTGTCACAGTTTGGTGTACAGAATATTTTGTCATCCAGGTAATAAGTCTAGTACCTGATAGAATCTGTTTGTCACTCCTCTTTCTTTTCCCACCCTCCACCCTCATGTACATGTGTCTATGAATCGTCAAAGCTTAGCTC